GTAATAAAATAACCATCAAGTTAGCAACTCATCAATCTCTATTTGTCTTGTGTTTCATTGCCTAAGTACCTGGTTCCTTGGACTATCCGGGCTTCCCAGAAACACTCCTGTCCTATTCCATCTTGTCTTCCCTCCCCTTAATGCTGAAACTGCACCCAGCTCTGATAGCCTGCAGGAGGGACACACTGTTTACTTATCTCTTTTATCTACCTACCTCAAAGCTATTACCACTCAACCAATCAAGTTTGGCACCATATCTTTTGCAGTGTACAATGAGATTATATACCTCTATATGCAGATTGCATTCCTATTTGTATTTCATTTGCACCTTTCTGTAACAGGATGTTGACAAAAACTAGGATGATAAACTTGCGCATGTTGTTTCCAAATAAACATTGCATTCTATTATTAAAATCAAATTTACTACACGTAAAAAAACAAAACAAACAAAAAACCCTCTATCCATCTCTTACCAAAATCACAAAACCTGACATAGACAATTTCATTTCGTAGATATCATCCTGCTGTAAGTTCAGTCCACTTCTATCTTTCATGGTGACCCTTTCTCTGAAGCCAGCAACATGTTTGCCAAGTATGCTGGTTTGAGACTTTCCCTGTCTGCAAAAGTAGAAACCAGGTATAGAGTTGAATGAAGTGACAATGTAATGGACTTAATAATGTTATCTGGATTAGGATTTATTTAATTAAATGTAGCTAATACAGCTATCTACATCTGAGGAGTTACGTGTGGGTCTTGAGAGTGAGTAGATTCATATGCATATAGTAGAATATGGTTAATTTGTTCCTGAAATAAGTATTTAAAATATAATTGTTGCCTATGATAAAACAGAAAAGGCGCATCTTTAATTTTTTTTTTCCTTGTTGGAAAGCACTGTCCCCAGAAAGCAGTGCAGATACACCTGCTAGGTGATTATTTTGCCATACTTTGACTCAACTCTAATAAATGCTCTGTACTTGTGAAGAAATGGATCTAGCATAAAAGTCATCCCAGCATCTCTGTCATCAGTCAGTGAATAGTTCTTAAGGATGATTTAAAGTTTCTCTTTGTACCAAGTGATGTGAAGGGAATGCTTACTGGAAGAACAAGAAATCTGGCCGCACAGACAGTCAATACTGCTTTTCTGTTTCTTAATAGCATAAAGGGAGGAAGGAAATCAGAGGTTACTGCCTATTCCAGCTTATACGCCATATATAAAAAAATAATAACATCAGTATTTATTGGCAGAAAAAACTGGGTGGAGAGGGAGATACCAGCTGCATTTATGTGAAAAACAGAGATGGAAACATAGGCTACATAATGGTAGGCAAAATACTTGCTCTGAAAAAGAAATATTTTCTTAAATATTATAATAGCATCTTGAGAATCCATTCAGGAATTGGCTCGTTGTTTCTCCTGATAATGCTGCGTAGTAGGTCAAGCCACTGAGACGAAGAACTTACAGCCTAAAAGATGGAGTCAGACAAAAGGCATATTTGGTTTCCATTTACAGAAATATCTCAAATGGAAAATGTAACCCATAAATAGTTCCTGCCATAATTCTCTGTTTTTTGTTTGTTTGTTTTTGATAAGCTTCATAACAATTACATTTACCTATGTAGAGCTGACACTTTGGAGAGCACCCAAAAGGTTGCAGAGTACCATTCTTACCAATGTCAAAAGCAGTGTCCTTCATAAATACAAAATAACATAACTTATGGTACAAGTCATTTATTTTGTGATTCTGTGTATAGATGAACAACTTCTGTGATTATGAAACTAGGTCTAAGGTCACAGAATTCCCCTTTTATTTAATACTTCTTAGTAGTACTAGAATAAAATTAATATTGTTGTTGTTGTCGTTTGCGTGTTTTATACTGTGACCTAGTTGGCAAAAACACTGCTATCTGATTGAATTAGGGAAAGGATAGAAAAGAACAGCATTCAACATCTGGCAAGATGTAACTTGGACTTTCTTCCTGATTATGTCTGTTTCAAATGCCAGGTGTCTATCACCTGGGGTGCAGCCTTACTTTGGCAAAGTAAATCTATTACTACCTCTCTGAAGAATGCTGTCTCTGAATGATGCCGCTGCTAATGGAACACTGATTTACTGCCACAACTGTAAAGAATCTTTTCTAACATCGTGTTACACTTCCCATCAATTTAGATCAACCAGACCTACCATATGTGAGAAGTTATCTGCATTTTTCTCCAATAAAACTGAAATGATGAAAGCTTTGCTTTCCCTGAGGTATCATCCAATATTGGTAGCTCAGTTGTTTTTTCTTTAGCCCTCATCTTCTCCGTCAAGGCTGGAGCATATTATGCCTGCAATGCTTGCCAGAACTCTATGGCTTATTTGTTGTTTGAGACTCACCATATGTGTCTTTGATCCCTGCCTAGTAGGCACCTTGGCTGCTTGCCAGTTTGGCACTTATGATTATCAGCGGTATGAATAGCTCCCTTGCTTCTGATTCTGTCCTTCTTGCTGTCATCAAATCACTCTTTAAACAACTTTCTTATTTTCTTTTAGATGCTTGTAAATGATTGACCTATTTTTACCATGCCTCTCTTGGCCAAGGGTTTGTGTCACATTGCAGGAAATCCAACAGTTTCATGTTTCCACTTCTAATGATCTGGCTGCCAGCTACCTGTGTAATTGCATGGGAACAATAACCAATACAGCAACATCTCTTGTGGTAATATTTGAAGTTTCTCTGTGTTTTACACAAATGTGCCTGTTCTTCCCATCTGGTAGACTTGGTGGCATGATTTCTTTGAGAGATTATTTATTTTAGTGAAAAGCATTCCTTTCAATAAACATTTTAAAACCTTTAACCAAAATATAGTGAGCCAATGACAAGGATAGATTCAGAGGAGTATCAGAATGATAAATAGATTTAAGAGACAGATGGAAATCCAAAAGCCAGTCATATGCAATTTCTATTCACTATCCTGATGTAGCACTAAACACATCTGAGTCCTTCCATGTGTTCTAGTAAACTGAAGTTGTTCCAAAATGCCATTGAAAAAAAATATGCAGAATCAAAATAAGGAACAGCACAGGGTATATAAAGGTCCAGACCACGAGAGGCCCATGTGCTCTCACAGCCAGATCTGCCAGAAGTCTCCATTATTCTTCACATGATTTTGCAAAAAATGCTGGTACTACCACTGAAACTAGATGAGGTTAAGCAGCATATGGTACCATAACTACCTTGAGGTTGACACATAAGGTAGGGTTCAATAATTTTTTTTAGCCTCTGCAACTAAAGAACAGCATTAGCATGATTATGCCTGCCTAAGACACACTCTGCTCAGAGCTACTTTCACATTGTGCTGTTCCACGTGACTCTTGTTCAGGAATAACAATTTGCTGTAGTTCTACAGCTTTTAACACAGTGCTTTTTCAATAGATAGATCATCATGCCCTTCTCCTAAGAAACACAGAGTTTCAGATGAGTATTGTACTCACACAAGTATGTCTCCTGATTTTGAGGCAACTGCCTACGTATAATTAGAACCACTTGAAAAATTCAGTGCAGAATTGCCAAGGATGAAAAAAAGAAATGATTAAGTGATTTCAGGGAGAATTAGAGGTGCAATAAAAAAAAAAAAAGAAGAAATTTTATTTGGTATAATCTTTTAATGTATCATTATTGTGTTTTCCTTCTTTGCCCAACAACACTAGGATTTCAGCTAGAGATGCTCCTTTTCAGCATACTTGGTGGCAATCTGAGTCTTAAAGCAGATTTGTGTCAGAAAATGTTGACAGGGGACTTAGCATTGCAGAGTACATTGAAGGTTTAAGCCCTACAAGAACAACATTCAAATCTTGCAATATGTTTGGTTATGCTAAGGAGCAGGGATATGAGAGGGATATAATTTGGAGAAGGTAGCAGTTTGATGGCTAAGTATGACTTGCTTATAATGGGTATTATCATGAAGCTGGAGTCATCATGTAATTAGTGGAATTTTGAACTGTTAAAATGTAAGAATTTTGAAGATACATTTTTTTTTTTTCCCAGAAGAAGATAGTAACTACCTTAGATCACAGTCAACACCTTGTCACTTTCTTGTGGTCAGATTTGCACTTACATTAGAGATGCCCACTAGTGCCATTTCAAAATAAATTTAAAAATTGTACTTTAAATATTTCATTTCTTTAGAGCTGTGATGATGCTTGAAGAGCAAAATTTCCCAGCCCTTCAAATGCTATCTAGGTTTGGTTTACAATGGGAACAGAAACAGGGAAGGGTTTTGATGTGCAGAAGAGCAAGCTCGAACTGCAATACAGCAAAAAAGGCAGTGCTTCAAGTGCATCATGCCTATCAGCAAAGGATGGAAACACAGACTTAACTGTAAATCTGGTAGTCTTGCAGAAAATGACAGAAGGAAAGGTTTAGTGAAATTAAGAACTCATTAATACCCAGGAAAAGGAATCAATCCAGAAACAATTTCCAGTGCATACGGTGTTTCACTTGCGAGTAGCCTGGAAAGTTGGCTGACACACTGAGTGCTGAAGATGACAAAATACAACCTGCTGCTTCTGAGACATGTTAAAGCCTGAACAATACTGCGTTTGCTCCCAGTACCTGCCACCCAAACCACCACAAGCACAGGCGTGCACAGAAAGCCTCGACGAAGACCTGCTGCCCCACGACCGACCGAGGGGCGAGGTTTTATCCCGAGACGGGCCAGGTTTCATCCCAAACGGGCCAGGTTTTATCCCAAACACCTTGCACAGCCCCACGATCCCTCCCAGCAGCCCTGTCCCTTCCCTTGGCCCTGCGGAAAGCACGCAGAGCTCAGGCTGCGCCCACTCCCAAGGGGTTCAGGTGCCCCCACGCTTGCTCCCCGCAGCCTCCCCCGCGGGGTCCCCGTGTTTCCCCAGCGGCTCCCTCCCCGCAACGCCGGGCAGCCGCGGCTACCGGCCAAGCTCCTCAGGTGAGGAGAGGCCGATGGTGGCGGCTGGCGGCCGGCAGAGGCGGCGGTTGCCGCAGCGGCCGCGGGTGGGGGCGCGGCGGGGGTGCGGGCTCCCGCCCTCCGCCATTCGCAGGCGCCGCTGCTCGGGGCCGGGCCGCTGCCGGCTGCGGTTGACCTTGCGGCCGGCCGCCCCACCATGGGCACGGTGCCGTCGGCGCTGAAGCACTGCCTCAGCTACCAGCATCTCCTCAAGGAGCAGCCGTGGATCGGGGAGCCGGTCCCCCCGCCGCAGCCCGGGCAGGTACCGCCCCGAGCCTAGGGGTGGGTGAAGGGGTGGGAGGGGGGCGGCCGGGGGCGGCGCGGCGGCCGCCAGGGGGAGGCAGGGGAGCGGCTGCGGTGCGCGGCAGGGCGGGGGTCGCAGCCCCTCGCTGGGGGAGCCAGGGATAGGGGTGAGGAGGTGTTAATGGAAAGCCACTCGTGTGTGTGTGTCCCCTCTGCCCCCCTTATAGGCCCATGTGGGACAAGCGGAGCAGCTGTGACATTGTGGGGTGAGCAAAATGTCGGCGAGCCGCGCTATGGTCACGGCTGCCCTGAGCTCGTGTTTCTGAAGCTCGAGTCAAGTTGAGCATCCTGCAGAGCCCTCGAGCTGCTGCCAGCACCCCGGGGCCCCTAAAGTGTGTCCCATAATGAAGGGGAGCCCCTCTGCTGGAGCACCTCCTGCCCTCCTTCTGCACTGACCTTGGGGTCTGCAGGGCTGCTGCCAAAAGGCAGAGCCAGAGCCACCAACGCCTCCAGAACAATTTTACCCACTCATGGCCTGCTGAGCTCCTGGTAGTGGTGGGCATGTGCAGGGAGAGTAGAGGTGGGGGCTCGCCATCCTGCATCGCCTCTGAGTACGTGTGGAAATACTTGTGGTGGAAATACTTGGGGGGTGGAAAAGGACATGGGATGAGGAGGCACCTAGGCAGATGGCCAAGCAAACGCCATAGGGTATGACTCTGCTCATCATAGCTTTGGAAGGGAAGAAATGAAGGAAAGGGAAAGCCAGCTATAGTGGAAGAGGCTGGATAAATCTAGAAAGACGTTGAGGGAAGATGTCAATATGAAGTACTCAAAGTAGGAAATTTTGAACATGATGTTATCTTTGCTATAGCAACCCATGTATTGATAAACCGTATTGTGCCTGATCATTCATTCCAAGTGTAACCCCAGTAATCAGTAACTAATCCAAACAATAAAAAGCAGACCTAGAACAAAATTGCGTTAAGAATCATGTAAAATGCATTTGTTGTTCATTGCATCTTTCTTCTGTTTTCCACATGCTTCAGATATACCAGGAACACACCTTCCATTTTTCTCCACCATCTGGAACTGACATGAAACTACTAGGTAGCAACATAACTTTAGAGGTGGGAAGATCACAGAATCACAGAGTCACAGAATTTTCTAGGTTGGAAGAGACCTCAAGATCATCGAGTCCAACCTCTGACCTAACACAAACAATCCCCACTAAACCATATCCCTAAGCTCTACATCTAAACGTCTTTTAGAGACTTCCAGATCATGCAAAATACAGTATTCTCAGTGACATGAAAGCTAGCAACACTCCATTACAATTTTGCTTCAGATGATCTGGGTTGATACCTCAAAGCTGCTCATGTGAAATACCCAAAGCAATGCTTATGGGAGATGTAGCTAGAAACTTTGCCAAGGCATAAAAAATACTGTTGTGAGCAGAGAACTTCATGTAGGTAAACTCCATACAACTTCCAGCTATTACAATTCCATGAATATTTCACTTTAAAATATAGGGTTTCTTGGAGAGCAAAGTTACTGAAAAGAAGTAAAAAGAAAAAGGTAAAGCCTTTGGGCTAAAGGCTAAATAGACAGTAAGCAGAATTTACCAATATCTGTTAATGGAATTTACTATCATCCATTTCACTTACATTTAAAATATTCCATATTGTGTAGGTAAGCTATCACACACTTGACTTAGTCAAGGGACACCATTCTTGTTGCTGTGCATTATTCCATGTTTTTCATTTCTTAATCTTGTTTTCTTCAGAAAAAAATGCTATCATACATTTTATACAAGAGAATCATAGTTTAGATTTATTTTCTTAGTGTTACGGTGTAAATGTTTTGTTAATAGGTAAGTTTTACTAAGAGCAGTGATAGCTGCTAACACTGTTGAGAACGCTTTTAAGCAACTTCAGGAATACTCTGCTACATGAGAGTTTAGGTAAATACATGGATTTATGTCAGAACTGCAAAAATGGTCAAGGAGCTGCTTAGAAATGAGGTGGCATTGGATTTTGTTGCAACATTATGGATATTTCCACAGTGATCAAGATTGTTACTGGCAGTGACTCATGGCACTTGAATGGAATTTGTAATGTGCTTTGTGTTCTCATTTGTACAAAAACCTTGGGCTGAACAGTGGGGAGGAAGGCTGGTGGCTGTTCATCTGCTGCTGCTGGTTGCCCTCTACCATAGTGGAAGCCTTGTGGCAAGAAGGAGAAATGCTCTGAGAGCAACCAATGTTAGTCTCATCCCACAGATGTAATATTTTATTTTCACATAGGTTAAAATGGAATTTTAATGCATTGGGAATATGGTGAGGACACAGCATAAGGACACAGCAGGGAAGAACTGGATGGCTGAAGAAGTGGTGTAAAAGACTGGGATGAAATTCAGGACTACAAAATGTTTAGATATTTTGAGACGAATAACCCAAACTTCTGCTTTTAGCTGTAAACTATGAGATTATCAGTTAGAAGTGACTGAAGAACAGAAGAAGCATGGAATACTAACACATCATGGGAGGACTGTGAGCTGCCAATGCAATACAGCTGTTAAAAAAACAAATGAAATCCTATGATATATCAGATAAGGTATTTCCAATCAAACAGGGAAACGTTAATGCCATTGCAGAAGACTGTTTCTGAGGCATGTTCAATTTTGGTTAGTCATGATGAAGAAACTGACTTCCAGCTGGAGCAGCTTAGGTTTTGCGCCAATGGAATGGTCAGGAAAATGGAGATGCAATGCTAAATGACTTTGGTTTGTCTGATATCTACTGTTAACACCTAGGGGATGGGCAGGCAGGGAGACAAGAGGGAAGAGCTGCTTAAAGTAGAGGAATATGCTGCTACACACACAACTGCGTACTTTGCTTGCATATTAAACAAAGTTAAAATTCTGAAGAAATTCTTAAAAGCTAAAGAATCAAGTAGGGGCATACTGTAATAACTTCCTTACCAAAGTAACAGGGTGAAAGACCTTTATAATGTAGGCATAGAAATAGGGTTATATAGAGTCACAGAATATCTGAGTTGGAAGGGACCTGCAAGAATCATCAAGTCCAGCTCCTTGGTCCCCAGAGAATCACCCAAAAATCAGACCATGTGTCTGAGAGTGTTGTCCAAATGCTTCTTGTTCTGGCTCAATGACGTGCAGCTGCCCTGAGGAGCCTATTCCAGAGTCTGACCACCCTCTCGGTAGTCTGTCTCTAATACAGTGCTACTGCAATTTATACAAAATTATACACATATAAAAAAAAAACAGTCCTCTTTTAGGTCATCCAAGTCATACTTACATGCATATGCTGCCCGTAAAGTTAATGTGTGGACAGCTGTGTGGTTTACACATCACAGCCACGACAGCAATGATGTGAAGTCCATAGTAGCAAGTGTGTGGATTCCCAAGAGAGTTTAAAGCTTATATAACAAGGACTATAGGAATAAACATTTAAATGATTTTTGAAATAGAAGCAATTACAAGTCCATTATTTTATTACATCACATGGCTTACAGTACTTTGGAAAAATAGGATTAGTTAAGGTCACAATGTCAACTTCAGTGTGAATATTCATCTTCTGTCATGTTGAATCAGTGCATCCTACTCTACTCTGAAAGAGGGTAATGGCCAAATATAGCTAAGTAATAGGCATCTTTCTATGGGACAGTTTGTTTTAATGTGCCACTGGCTAGGTGTACTGAAAGGTGTGGTGTATTAGGAGTGTATTAGGATTTATCTGCTTTGATGAGAGTTGCCTATAGCTACTAAATGCAAAGGAAAAATGACTGAAAAATAAATTTCTGATCTGTTGCTCTGCTGGATGGGGTTGTGACTCTAGGATGCATAGATCTATCTAAATGATGCTGATGTGGACTATGTGATTCCATAGGATTTTTGTCACAGATTTAGGCTGTTATATAGGATGCAATACACAGAATTATTAATAGTTCAGTATGTTATCACTGGAAAGCACAGTGTATATTACTGTCAGTTTTGTAACTACAGAGGATCATAAACTCTTTGCACCTAACATATATAAATATGTATAACAATGGACAAAAGCTGAGGTCCTCTAAATTAGATACCTATCTTCTGTTTTAGTGCCTAGGTCACAATTATTTTTAATTGCCAAATTATTTGTATTGATCCAGACCTAAAATATTCTATGATGCAGATCATAGAATCATAGAATGGTTTGGGTTGGAAGGGACCTTAAAGATCATTCAGTTTCAACCCCCCTGCCATGGACGGGGACACCTCCCACCAGGTTGCTTAAAGCCTCATCCAGCCTGGCCTTGAATACCTCCAGGAATGGAACATTCTCTCACCTCCTCACTGCCCCACAATGTTGGATCAAGAGGTAGATGGAATTGTCTTACTTTTGCAGTTTTAATGTGGCAGTTTGGATTTTGCAATATACAATCATGTTTTTAACCATATGGTAAAAACCTCTCAAATTTACTTTTAAAGTAATTCAAGAATAATGTGATGAAAACCACAAGCCATTCAACAAGCTGATGTGTATTTGTCTTTACTACTTTTTGTGTTCAACAGTTGATTTTTGATTGAAATTACAGCATAAAAAATGAGGTGTCTGGTATTATGCTACCTGCATAAAAGGCATGTCTGTTTTACTGGAATCTTTAAGCTACGCCTCCAACCTACTGATTTGAAACATACTACATTTTGTGTTCTTTTTATCACCATGCAATTATGTATTCCAGGAACAAATTCACATTTGCAAGTTCTTCTTAAATAACTACTTATGTTATTTTAATTTTTTATTTAGCTTATTTAGTTTAAGAATTACAAAAATTTTCTGTCAACGATATTGCAAACATTATGACAAATACAGTATACAATAATTTCATCGTAATTTACTTTCAGTTTGTTTCAATATGTTGAAAATTGCATAGTAAGTGTATTTTCAAGTGTGAAAAAAGAAACTAGAGGTCCTGACCTTTATATTGCAGAATTCTTGTTGCCTGTTTTTTTAGAAGG